AATTGGTTAAAATAAAACTACTTCTTATTGGTCAAATTTATGAATGCCTCACATGTGATTGGCTACAATAAAACTCATTCACATTGGTCGGATTTAAGACGTCTAGACGTGGCTACGTTCCATAGTCTGCCAAAATTAGGTTGGTGACCCGACTCATTCTGCGTTCGTGAGAGTATTAAATCACAGTTTTGTACCTACACTGCCTGATCAAAAGTATCCGGACACCGCTCTGTAAACGTTGACTCGAGCCTAGATATCCCTACGACCGCCGCTGCTGCTACAAAAGGAGGCAGAGGGTTCGATGTTGATCAGTGCTACGCGATACCGACAGAATCGGTAGAGCAAGGGAGCTCAGTGACTTCGAACGTGGTATGGTTATTGGTTACCACATCAGTAAGCAATCCGTCAGGGCCATTTCCACTCTTTTCAAGTCGACCGTCGGGGACGTGATTGTGAAGTTGAAACGGGAAGACACAACCACGGCCGGGTAGACCACGTTTGTTGACCGACAGGGACCGTCGAGTATTGAAGAAGGTGGTACGGGAAAATCGCATGTCATCGTGTGATACCATCACCCGTGAATTCAGCAGTGCCACTAATTGTGCACCTAGCACCATGACTGTGCGTCGGGAGTTACGAGGACTGGGGTTCAAAGCCCATAAACAGCACATTTCGCCTGTGAACGCTAAGCGCCGCCACAGGTGTGGACGACTGGAGACGCGTGATTTGGAGTGATGAATCACGCTATACCATGTGGCAGTCCGATGGGAGGGTTTGGGTGTGGCGAATGCTAAGTGAACGCTACATGCCGGCCTGTATAGTGCCCACAGTGAAATTTGGCGGAGGTGGAGTGACAGTGTGGAGGTGTTATTCATGGAAGGGACTTGGTCCTCTCTTAATACTACGGAGCACGTTAAAGGCGGAAGGATATAAGGGCATTTTGACCAGATGCGTGTTGTCTACGGTAGAAGACCAGTTCGGAGATGATAACTGTGTGTTTCAGCATGACAATGCTCCCTGCGATAAAGCAGGGTCTGTTCGTGAGTGGTTTGTGGACAATAAGGTTCCGGAAATGGACTGGCCAGCCCAGAGCCCCGATCTCAATCCTATTGAACACCTCTGGGATGAACTAGAAAGGCGACTGCGCACCAGACCCCAACGACCCACATCACTAACTACGCTTGCTAGTGTTGCAGGAAGAATGGTCGGCCATTCCCCCGGCGACGTTCCAACACCTGGTAGACAGTCCCCCCCGCAGAGTTAGAGCTGTAATAAATGCCAAGGGTGGGCCCATCACGAAAACCAGCCCATATGTGAAAAGACAGATTACATATTATCATGTACGCGCAAAGCATCCGTCCCGTCTTCAAGAGCGGGAAGATGGTTTAGTTCGACAATAACTTCTTTAACACACAGGATTTCCTGCACAGGTGGTGTGGAAGACCTTGTGTTTTGGGAATCTGGGTTAACACTATGGGGTAAAACAATGACTATAAACTTAGATATCATGAACCATTAATTATATTTTATAACATTAAAGCATTTTCACCTTCACAAATGTAAGAGTATATATACTTTGCTTTCAGGGATTAAATGTCACACTGTTAAATAAAAAGAAATACAAATCATTTTAAGATTATTCCAACAATAATGAACTACATGATAATGTATTTACTACAATTACTCTATAACATTTATTCCAATTTGTACTGTAGTTTTGTGATTGGGTTGCCTATGAAAAGCATGGAAACAATTCCCTAAAACATCTTAGGAAGAAATTTGTTTGTACTCTTGTTGCAACATTTTTACACTCGGAATGTTAAACCATGAAAATGAATTAAATAAAGGCATTCATATATTTGTTTGATTTATTTTTATTCATATTATGTTTTGACAATTTCAAAATAATAGTTGAAAGTGTGTAAAGTGTTATAAATATACAGTTTAACAAACTGCTGTCAATCATAACCTTACAAAAGAAATGAAGAGTATCCAGGAATCATTACAAATCAATCAGAAAAATGACAGCAGAATCAGATTCCTATATGAAATATGGAACGATTATAGACATGAATAACATGATTGGGGGGGGGGGGGAGTGTAAAAATAAATGGCTTTATGGATTTCAATGACACTCATTCAAATTACATGGAACGAACCACAATAACATTTATTCAGTTCAACTGATTCACTACACACAAACATATTTTCTATTTTGGATATTAAAAACTGGTATTCTATTTACAATATAATCCCATTTTTTATTTATTGGATTTGACATTGAATATGACCCCCATTTAATTGGTTGATGACTAATTATGTGTTATCCTGTGACAGGATAGGCCACATATTATAAATTCATTGTTGCACAAATTCCTGGGACTAAAATGGTTGCTTTTTTGTATTCAAACTATTTAAGCGAGGCCTCCCAATCACAAGATAACATCTGGTCAGCCAACAACCAATTGAAAACAGGTTCAAGATGTAATACACGGAACCAGGATCCTTTTTAAGGGCAGTTCTGACAGAAACATGCATTATAAATAGAATGCATATTTTTAACATTCAAACTAAAAAAAAATACTTTTTCTTGTGTAATGATCAACCAAACTAAATAAATCATTTGTATGCAACTCTCACAAGTTTCTTTCAAATCTGCAGAGCTGTTCATTTTTACCATAAAAAAGCTTTTGTGCCACCCCATAAATTGGAAATTCAAAGGCAGTTACATGGCGTTATAAAAAGGGCAAAATAAATGTAGCATGGTTGTATGCAACTCTCACAAGTTTCTTTCAAATCTGCAGAGCTGTTCATTTTTACCATAAAAAAGCTTTTGTGCCACCCCATAAATTGGAAATTCAAAGGCAGTTACATGGCGTTATAAAAAGGGCAAAATAAATGTAGCATGGTTACAAAAAAAGAAAATAATTCAGAAATATAATGTGTTAAAAAATGGATGAAAAATATGTTTAACGTGGAAACTCTTTTACAAAGCCAGCAGAGGTTATGTTTTACCAAAAACACCCCCTGCACGTGCCACTTTGATACTCTCATCAAATTCCCGGTCTACATTTCCACAAATACGTATTGCTCGTAGCGCATTAAAACAAAAAGGACCAAGCTTTGCCTCGTAGAATCTGCACCTGTTCAGACATCCCAAAAAAGTAATGTTCTAATACTCAAGATTAATGAATTGCAAAGAATATGGAAACAAATGGTCATGGCCTATCTTAGCATTTTCTCGGATATTTTGAAGAAAACCATGAACCCCTCTGCGAGGACAGGTCTCCACGCTGCAAATTGAACCCAGAACCACCCAAATACAAACCAAAAGTGCTAGCCACTCGGCCACTACGTTTGGTCCAGTTTTGTAAGTAGAACATCACTAATTAATAACAAAAAAACATACAAGTGGATAAAACGGGGGGAACTTCCCACAAGACAAAGCCTGGCAGAAATGCCACATGAAGACACTAGTGAGCACCAACTTTGTACGGCTGCTGAAGATAAAAAGAGTAAAGTCAATGTGACCAGAAACATATTTAATTAAAGTTTAATATCCATTACAGAAGTCCCATCACTTAAATAAAGAGAACTTTCTGCAAAACTGTACTAAACCACTTATGACCAACATATTCATTCTCAGAAATACTTGTCGATAAATCCTCGTTTTATTTCAAAGGCCTGCGAAACATTGGGCCGAGAAGACATTCACAAAATGTCGGGGTTCAGTCTGCACTGTCCACCACACAAAAACGCGCTAGTCGCTGCCAAGTCAGCAGCAGTGGTAAGAGGAAGTCATTCCTTTGTAATAAACAAGGATAAGTTTACAGCATCCAGCGCTTCTGTATGCGAAGTTTGGTGAAAAATCATGAGAAAGTTTTTTGAGGTGTACGTTCCCCACATAAAAAATTCCTGGAATCTTCAATAAGGTAAGAACAAAGAACCCTCGTCACATTATTAAGAGAACTTCGTGTACGAGGACTGCCTGTGATACAGATATTATTTTCTGTTCAAATATTCATTAAAATAAAACCAAGCCTCACTGAAAAAGTTGACAGTGGAACGACGGTTCCGGAGAATCTGACGTAAATACGTCTCTGTAATGTAATGCAATGTAATAGTTCTTATATAAGATAAGTACCTGTGATATTGTAAAACGCTTTTACCAGCACAAAATTATCTAGTCTACGACACTCTTCTTCTACAAGCGAATCACAGCTCAGCTCTTTCCGCAATAACGAAAGCGGATTGTTGACGACAGTAATGTAACACAACAATGCCGAGTAAACAGACGACGTAATAATTAGTTTCTTAGGTAACATAACAGTGCACGCAGGAGTTCATATAAAAGCTGACCACTGTCGGTCCATATTTACACATTGTTGATATGGATCTTACACATCTTCCTTACGCTTTTTTGCCGAATGACCCTTCCGTATAGACGTATTTACGTCAAAAGATTAAAACTCACAATCAAGTTCACCAACATGAATTTAAAATACCAATTAAAGAAATTAAATGTCGCTACCGAATTACCATGGCTGCAAAGAGCACAAACTTTGGTGTTGTCTGGCCACAGTTTTGAAACTGCCATTTCTTGAGGATGACGTTTAAAAGACTTAAAAGGCAAATGACAAAGCTAAGCCACGTTAATGCGCAAACTTACCTTCCATTAACACTCCATTATATCAATGCTTGGTTTCATAATTATTAACACATCAGTTGTTCTTACTTTATTGACAAGATTTTAAATACTGTTTCTGTGGGGAACTTGAAACTTTAATCTGAATTTTCAAAAACTTCCCAGCAGATTTACACTTCACATATGACACACAAACAAAAAACACTTAATGCTCTGCGTACACTTAGGCCGGGCGCAAACGGAGCCACTAGTGGCCGCGTCTGTGCTGAGTCTATTAAAACTCCATACAAAGTACAGTCCGCAGCTTGTGGCGGCCACAAGTGGCTCCGTTTGCGGCCGGCCTTAACCTTGTCCAACACAAAGGGAGTATAATACCACTTACTCTTTTCAATGTTGCTGACTCTCAGCAGAAAGGCAATGTGTCGTGCACTATAGCACAATCACCAAATAAACCCCATGAGGTTATTATTCATAAAGTTCTTTTATCTTCATCCTGTATGAGTAAAAAGCAAATTGAACCCTGCATTGTAAAATACTCCTTTACAAAAACCATCATATTTTGATTTTCACAATAATACCTTATCTGTGCAAAATGATTTTACTATCATCTTCAAATGCAGTGTATTAATTTTTGGACTGAAATTTGAAGAGGTAAAGGGAACCACAGTTAGGAGTATATATATATATATATATATATATAGAAAAAAGATGTACAATTAAGAGTGCACAGTAAACCAGTTTCAAATATAAAAGAATTCATGAAAGCCCTTGAATTTGAAAAGGAAATGAGCTTTACTTCAAGAATTCAGTCAAATAGCAAAATGTAGTTAATAAACTCTGCAACTGCAAAAGAAATTTAAAATCATCCAAAATAATATACAGACTTACCCACAACCATGTCTTAATCCTTAAACCCACCCAAAACTTACACAAGACACAGTAAAACCTCTTCAATCCGTTAACACAAAGAAATTAAAACGCTTCATTTTCCATTCCCTCCCACAAAAAATCTATACAATTTAGTCTGATTAATTTTAACGAAGTAAATAACTGTAATAATGATTTTTATATCATAATGGATAACATTAATGTCTTTGAGAATTAAACATTCTTAGAGTTTTCCATTCCAACATAACGTCCAACAAGATCATTTGCGACTACCATTTTACATTAAAACCAACGAAGGAAATTTTGTCAAAATACAAATATTTTAACGGCCACAAGCGACGAATAAAACAGATGAGGTCATGCATTTAAATAACACCGGAGAAATGCACATACTTCCTTGCTATTACAAGAGCAATGCTGATTTATCGCGAGTGCGTTTTGTCCGCTACTGTTTACTATTGCTCGCTCCATTAACTCTCATTAAATAAAAGTCCAAATGTCCGGTTCCCTAACTTTCGATTAACGAGGTCTTACTGTAGTTTGGTTTACAAAATGCCGTAGCGCTCAACAAAGCCGTGCTCTTTACATCAAATCCAAATACGGAATGAGTCATTTTATGCCAGCCAGTAACAGAGTCCTTAATTAAAAAGTCCATTTGGTCTATGATTATGCAGAAATGTGATATAATAAGTTTATAATGCAGAGTGAATGTGGTAATGGAACAGTACGTACCTACCGTGTGTCTAATTATAAAGGCATGCTTGTAGTCTGAGCTACTATAGGGATCTGGCAGTAGGGACATTCTTTCTGAGTTGAAGCACAATTACTACACAACACATAATGATTGCAAGGGGCTAATGTAACACTGCGGTTGTCTTCTTCACATACCATACACTTGGTTGCTGTCTGCAGGTAGATAACCTGTGTAGATCAAAAACAACATTTCAGACTCCAAATGTGGCAGGGAAACAAAAAGGAACGATAATTCAATATTACGGCCAGATTCAATGTTCGATTGCCATTTTATATCAAGCTCTACAGTGTAGCGCTTGATTTCAGTTGGAAGAAATATTTATCTGGACTTTTGTGATTCAATTCTAAAGGGTTTTGACGACGGTAGATTACACTTAAAATTATTCACTGTAAGGAATTTTTCTATCGTCTATTCTTTAAAACCCACGACGTTTCGGAAGCTGGTTCTGTCTCCGTCTTCAGGTGAGAGGTACATACTCTGTTGGGTCCCTCAGAGCTAGTCTCTTGTCACTGGACAATGCATATCGTCCAACTATCTTAACACATCCACAGTCATCAGGACGATCAACATTCATCGCCCTGATGACAGAGGAAGTATGACCTCTGAAACGTTGGTTAACATCGACCAGACTACACAGCGCAACAACCCGGAAGACAGAAATCTTCATACTGGCCGCTGTGAAAACCTCAAATAATACAAAAGTATACCAGATTTCCATCCCACACATTCTACAAATGAAACTTTACAAAACTTGGCAAACATACAGATAAACAAAGGTTCTATCCTTGGTATGACGGATAAAGAATATTTTTAAGTATGAAATTTGTTTATCAGATGTAAGTGACAGTAATTGTAGAAAACATTCGAAAGTGTATTTTTACACACGCGATTTACCTATCAACCAAAATAAATGGAAGCAGGAGTCAACGCTTATATGCAACCTCACTAAATTTATCAATCACAGTTACAGTACACAAATCACATGATAGGAAATAGTAGGTGTCTGTATAACGATACCTTTTCAATTTCTTCCAGGTCAGACCTCAACTGCGCCTGTAATGATTTTAATGTCGGAAGTGATAACGTCTTCAATTCTGATACTCTTCTAAGACCATGAAGATAAGGACTACCTTGTAGTAAATCTACTTCTTTCTGAAGAGCTTTTGCTTGAGACAATGCCTGAAACAGGTCATAACATTAATAATAAACAAAATAAAGTATTATGTAGTGAAAACTGTGGCCACTGTCTGGATAAAGAAAATATATCATATTAGATGCTAGATCTGTCCGTTATATAAATCCAGTCAAGATAAGTAGATCAGAGGCAGGTCACATGTACAAAAAAGACACGTAAAACACAGTAAGAGGACATCAGCAAAAATCAAATATAAAAGTGATTTGCGAAAATAAAATTATAAGTTAACGAGATAAAACCAAAATCACACCTACTGGATAGATGACAATTTTTAAAAAAACAAAAGTGCCTGTAGCCTGAGTTAACAGCGAATGCACGTAAACGTCAATAAGAGCCTTGTAAAAAGCTATTGAAGAAACCAATAATTTTTGAACAGAGAAAATTCAGCACTTCCGAGTCTAATATGCGACAAAAGATGACTACTAGGTGCAAGAAGTGTTGAAATATATTACGCGAATAAGCAACAAAATAATTCTTTCACAAAATCTGACAATGCAAAGTGATCTTACAGCCATGTAAACATAGTACAGTATTTTCTGTAACCAATGATTTCAAAGTCACGCAAACTGGAAAAAGGTCTAATTTACATTACGGCAGATAACACATACCTCGTCTCTTTGCTGCTCTGCTATACTTGCTTTCCTGTTAGATTCTTCGGCTTCTCGTTGCCATGCTTCACATGCCGACCTAGCTTGATTTATCCTCTCATCCCAAGATGCAAATTTTGATCGGCTAGATACTAATTCTTCACATAATCTCTGCATATGTAACTAAAATTAAGATAAAACAAGATTAGTGGGTAAAATGATCACTCAAAGTCTCTTTAGGCAAATACAACCATACATTCGTCAACAGTTCCAAAACTAAAAGCCACTGCTACGTAAGATTTTCTGCATTAAGAAAACCTATCCTAGCTCCTTGAAGTTCTCTGAGTTTCCGCCACTTCTACGAAACAGAGGATGAGCTGTATTCCACGGGTGTTTGGTTAAAATTTCAACTGAAAAGTAGTTTTTCCGAATTACATTAACCTCTTAAAATCCAGTGACAACTATACGCACCACTTACTTTAATATTCGATAGTCTGTACTTTACGGGTTTCACGCGAGTATCAGAAAGAGACGAGATTAAACGCTTAACTCAACACCAAAGCTTACTCACGTGCGTACCAACTGCTTTTAACAGTAACTCCGCATTTTATATTTATGGGTTTAGAATAATTCTCAGCATAAACAGTGTTTATCGTTTCAAACAACATTACCTAGTTCATCTTAGTAACGGAAAGGTGTTGTATTATTTTTACAGGTACAGACTAAATTCTTAAATATTATTTAGACGCGCTTCATAATGGAGATGCAATGTGGGCTCTCTGTGATAGCAACTAATTTTTTAAAAAGATTATGATTAGGCTCAGCTTCAAAGGTTAATGACAAGTCACGATTACTGCCACCATATTCCTCAAAATTCATTATTCATAACCATCTTACCATTTCCCATTTGGGACTATACAAGTTCTGACCGTTAATCAAATCACAAACTAGTTAACTAACTAACTAACCAGCAAGCATCAACAAACAGCAAACTGGTAAACCCGCTGAACTGATACAGCTGTTTCTTTACATTTTGGCCGCGTACTTTTCCTCCAAAATAAAATAACATATGATAAAGTGTCACTCCACATTTCAACAAGAGTAACAATAAGAAAACGTAAGGTAATCGCTATGAACGTAAAATAGCACGAGTTGGGAGTATCTGAATCACTCCAAAAAAAAGGGTTCTTGTGTCATAAATACTTTTTCTCCCACCTACACAAATATTAAAGGCATAAATTGTGAAACTTTTAATTGCAACCCAAATGGAGTAATCTAACGCAATGGAATACTTAATCCCTACTCAGTATATTTACCATTTTATAATAAATTCAAATTTCTCACCGTCATCCAGTTATTTCATCTCTTAAGAAACAAATGTCACAGAAAAAAGCAATTCTCATCTTTCATTATCAATATTTTTATTAAGCATGTGTACGGTTTTGTTTTCACATGCATTCGTACAGGGCAAGTATTTACATGTGAGGCAACATTTTGTGGTGTGCAATCAGGGTGTGCCACGGCTGAGAAAAAGTTGCAGAACACGAACCTAATGCGGTTTCTTTCGTAAACCATATAAGAAGTCTTATCTACAATACAATTTACAAAGGCTCGCAATATGAATTTGTCTTCACTGCCTAGAAAAATCCACATATATGTTAAAAAATATATTTGAAATACATGATGTAATACTGATATTGCTGCAAGTGATGTTAAAGAGTACAGTAACTCTAAACCATGACCTTCATTTCACTTGTTCTGAAAACAGGTGATCAAGGGCAAGGCTGTAACTTTCTCAAGGTCACAAAAAGAAAAATCAACATAAGAACGAAGCGTTTATCTGACATCAAAATTACAAGTACTAGCGCCGCAGGTGTCTGAACTGGACTCTTAGAAATCTTCGAAGGATCCGAGCGCTGCTAACGGAGAACTGAAATCGGTTTCGAAAGGAAAACACTAGCGACAAAGGCCAAATCTTAATACTTAATTCTTAGTTAACTGGTCAAACTGTTGATTATATAAGAATGGCAATTTGATCTGCCCATCACAAATTACTCCACGAAACTGAACAGCAAAATTCTACCATGAAGAAAAAATCAGCCGAGTACGTTCAGGAAAGTTAAGATCACGTGCAAAACAATCTAATTTTCCACACTTTAAAAGACGGCAAGTAACGTCAACAGCATAAAAATGGCTTTTCTCAAAGAGAAATGGAACACAAAAAAATATATCACTGTGGGGAACAGAGGGAGGGATAAAATTTGCGCGCACTTTGTACATTCCACGAGAACACAAAAATAAATGGTTTCATGTGCGCTCATTGAACTCAGAAGAATGCATTCTTTTCAGACATAAATCATACTCTGATTCAGAAGTTAAAGGTATTTTACGACCTCCACGTATTTTCAGGACAACATGGCGTGCACTATATAAAGAGGACATGAATTGATCAATCTTTGCTAAATCTTTTACTTTACATCATTTTCTTGTGTACTTTAGGGGAAAAGTTAGAGAGAGCCACAATTTCTGTATTAAAGCTTCGTAAATAATAAATTACACAAATTTGCCTTTCGAGAAACTACTGAGACACATTTTACAACTGTACACACACAAAAGTGTTCTCTAGTGAAAGGGCAGTCGCTTCTCAACACAAGATTTATAATCCAACCCCATGAAACAGATTCTCCAAATCTCCCTAATGAAATACAAGTTCACCCTGGCTGCTCGGCACAGAAATCATCTGAAACTGTCCGTGAACCAATGAACAATGATAAGGAAGCACCAAATAAGACAGCGACACAATGAACGGTAACAACGTTAACACAGGACGTGTTTGCAATAAGGAATATGTCTGGTGTCAGGCAGGTTGAGAGTTGAGATGCTCTTCAACGTTGAAGAAACATTAGAAAGCAACTCATTTGTTTCATTATACCAATGTCACCAAATCTTACAAATTCTGTTGTAGTTAAGGCCGTCTTTTAAATGGAATAACCTGTGCATCAGATGTGTTACGTATTAACCAAGTTTTGGTTAGTCGATAATTTTCTAAAGTCGTTATCAGAGTACAGGCAACATAAAAGCATACGCATTTGTCTTTGTCAGGTTTATTTACAGACTACCTAATTAATAAAACATGAGAAAATTGCAATGTACTGTAAATACTTTCCACAAGTTTCACTAAAATACACAAACATGCATTTTAAAAATTGTTTTCCTTCATCTCTACTCAAAAAACTGTTTATTAGAAACTGAAATTTGACAGAACAGTACATTCAGAGGGCCCTGACTCTGTACAACAAATTGATCAACAAACGCAATTTATAGCGTATGATATATACTGAAATATATTTCGGTAATTTTTTAAATTCACTATTTTCAGTTATCATAACCTAAAATATGTCAGTTAAAGGAATTTATTGTCGCGCAAGACACAAGATAACCATTCTACAATATAAGTGTTCATTGCTTGCTATTTGCCTGTCATTCTTGACGAGTAATTTTCTCGTTTCACAAATAATTTACATTCTGAGAAGAAAAAAGCTACAGTAATTACATGTAACAGCTACGCAACTCCTAGAGTGGGGGTTAGTATAAAAAAAATTCAAATAAACGGAAGAACACAATCTGTATTATATACCATGTAAAAACGATATTTTCACAAAGAAAATCTGTCGTAATATACTCTTTTCTGCCAAACCCTCAGGTGAAAACAATATTTTCGCAAAGAAAATCTGTCATAATATACTCTTTTCTGCCAAACCCTCAAAATAGATACCTAGGAAGCACCAGTGCAGGCATTTCTCACCTCAGTTGAAAGGTTTGTTCCTAACGATGGACTTAAAGGAAAACTATTGACTAACGACGAGCTGTGGTGATGGGAGGGATGACTACTTGGAGACATGTTCTGATGGGAGGTGAAGTCAAACAGACCGCCGCCGGATGCGAAACTACTAATCTTTGACGCACTACTGCTTAACTGGATGTGAGAAGTGTTCATAAATGCTGAGCCCTGAAACAATAGACAATAAAAGGTTTCATTGCACTCTAATCAAAGGAGAAGAAGAGCTTGTCAAAAGTAACATCAACTGAGAATGTGAGCACCCAAATTTTCAAATTCAAAATTTGTAACAAACTTCAAACATTTCACTGACACCTAATCACTGAACCTGAGGAAGTATAAATGTTTTATTTGTGACACATAAATCAAGAAACATTGGAAATATTCTTACCAAAGAAATTCAAAATATCTTACAAATAATCCTTAGATATATTCTAAAAAAAAGTGGTTCTCACTTCAGAGGGTAAAATACATACAAAATAAAATGCTGACTTCACAACACTCAATAAATTTTATCAGAAAAATTAATTCAGCGAACAATAAAAATACAATCTAAACAAATAATTGTAACTCCCAACAAATGATTCAATGTCGACGGACCAAAATAAAATGTCATCAATGAATTTGGGGGCACCAATATTAAATGTCCTGAATATTGTCAAGAGCATACAGTGTTCCATGCGTACAGGCAACCAGTGACATCTGGAACTTTTCTTCAAAACTATGAACTCAATATCAAATAACGCTTGTATACTTCCTGTATATCCCTAGCACAGATTTGTAACCGTGTGATCACAAAGGGTCTACGAAACTTTTTCATTTAAAACCACCCGCTTCCTTTTGGAGGGCAGCATTTTTGAACTGACATAAATGGTATAACTTGGTAAAAAATGAAACATCATTATATTCCTGTTCACATCACCTCCTAACTTTTGGGGCAGGGGCAAAAACTGACCAAAATATTCACACTACTATGGTACATTCTGCGAAACAAAAATAAAGTTCTTGAAAGCTTCTAAATCCAAAATTTGAAGTGATGTAAGCATGCAGCTGATGCCATAATTCTGGTCATTTGTAATCTTGTATTTGCTTGTACACGGCTTTTCTCCACCTTCCACTAATTGATTTTTGCCAGATGTTTATTAAGCAAAGACACCAATATGTCTTACCGTTGCACAATGTACTTTGACGAGGTAGCTATCCCCCCCTCGTAGGCGGGAAACTAAGGTAGGGGGCCTTGTGTTGATGTGAAGATCACATTTGTGAGTTTGAATCCCAATATCTGCATGTTTTTCTTTTCTTTCAAAAATTATGTTCTACTCACACAAATACTAATTAAAATTGCAAATTCACATAAATGAGAAATTGTGTTCTGAGAGTTCATTATGATTATTACATATGTTGCAAATTATTAAAATAATTGACAATGGAAAGGCAAGCAAGGATTCATTGCAGGGGATCTGGAAAATGAAAATAATTGCTTCCTTCTTCCGTCCTATAGCCTCCGAGTTCTTACAGAGTCCAGTGAATCCTGGTGCGAAAAACGTGCTGTAGACAGGAACCCAGACTGCAACTGTTGCAATGGAGATGATGTCGAGGGTGAGAAGTTGCTTCCTAATGCATTCCTCTCACTCAGGGCACTGCCAGGGATGTTGACCGGAGCAGAACTGCCAAGCATACCTACCAAAAATTTATAAATTACCACAAACTGTAGTAAGAACAATAGATCTGTAGTCTGAGCAAGACACAAACTGCACTAATATGTACGTGAAGCAACTACTTGGTTAAGCTTACATTAAGCAAAGGAAGTTTGTAACACGAGGTAACGTAAATCATCAGGGAGTAGGAAACCAGCTGGAATTTTTTACTTGAGATTAATGGGAATTCCATTTTTGATCTACAAATTTTCACGTCATGAACAGTTTTCACTGATCAAATTATGTTCACAGATTGAGAGATGATTGTATTATGATCTGGACCTTTACTCTGTATAAAATCTTTAGAAAATTAAGAAAAATCTCAAATTGGTTATATTTAATATGGTACATACATATATATATTTATTTAATCTGTTTGTTTTTTGTATTTGTAACATTTTTTATTATTATTTGTATGTATTATCAGTGTTTGCCTGTTATTGGCTTCTCGCTGTTGGCAAAAACTTAAAAGAGATACAAGGATACCATGAAATACATTAGAGTTTAAATGACTTTTCACCCATCAAGCCGCTTAAAGCAGAAACAATGCTAGAATATGAAGAGAGTAACACAAAGGCCAATGTTTCGGACAACAGGTACTTCACTGAAGTTTCCAATACCAGACTTAACAGAAATGTATGCGGTTTTGGAGAAGAAAATGGCTCGGCAGATGCCCATTCCATTATGCATTTTATATGAAATTAATGCACATCTTTACTGATTATATTATACGATTAACACCTGATTTAACGGATTTCAGACCTGACAGACGCTGTCTGTTACTGCCAGATCTTTTCTGGATGCAGGTATTAGAAGACCTCCAGTTTTAATGGACCCTATCGGTTAAAACTGAAAATGTCTGCTAATGACCACTGGATATTTAGTACTTAACAAAAATATATTTGTCCCGCGCCGTCTGAGGCATCATGCTTCGGACCGGCGATATGGGATGCGCGCTGGTTCGAGTGTCGGGGGAAAAGAAATTTTCTCATGAGATGGGGAGCTACGATAAGTAGCGTAATCTGGTCAGGAAAACTAGCAATGACTGGGGGTTCGTCGTGCTGACCACACGTCACCCTGTATCTGGTTGGATGATCGTTCACCTCTGCTTAGGCATGTGAACGTGAGGCCAACAGTCAAGCTAGTCGGCTTTGGCTCTCTGGAGCCGTTACGCCACGGATTTAATTTTAACAAAAAGATATTTAGAGGTAAAATGTTTAATTTTTAGCATCTCTCAATTCTAGCATGGACTGCTGAATTTTATGGGAAAACAATGATAAAATACAATTAAAAAAATCTGTATCTACAAATATAAAATCTACAATGTTCACATGTCTCTACTTCTATTCTCGACCTACATACAGAGAGTAAGAATACTTACCAGAACTTGCTAGTCCAGCTGATATAGAATTGCTGACAGTTGGGGAATCTGTTTCTAAATCTTTGTCTATTGATGCTGCTAAATTAAGAGGTTCATCTAAATTTAAATCTTCTAATGCATTTCCTGCAAAGAAAATTAAATTCAATGCTGTTACACACTTCCAAAAATGGGCAGAAATAAAAGTTTTCTGCAATGTCCAGTAGAATGCCATGGACCATGCATGGCTGACCCAATGAAAATCCTCTGTCACCCCTTCTTCTAATCACATGGTCACCAAAACTCCTTTCATCACCCTGCAAATTTAATACGACTCACCCCTGAAACCCAAAGTTACATATTCAAAAAAAGAGTTTATTTGAATGAAACAAACAACAAATACAAAAAGTTGTAAGTTGTAATAACGTGGCAAGTCCCAGCCCATACAAGCGTGCATTATGCCTGATATAACAACATCACGAACAATTAATAAAGGACACAATAACACACTTAACAATTACTGTACGCTGTACAGTTGCTATCAACGCCATATTAATTTATCTTGTCACCATTAACATCCCTAAAAAATTCAACAGTGTGGCGTGCACCATAACCACCTTCAATCACACAACGTTTATTGACTTTACTTCTTCAAGATTCTATCTCAAGTGTCCTCTTAGATCAAAAATACATTCCCACGTCATGAACGCCAAATAGCATCCAATTAACGGAAGACGTTAACACGCATCAAATGCATACATTACAAAATCATAAATGTCACCCTTCTGACATAATACGTCAAAAAAGCCTTACCTACTACAGATTCCACGGTATCACTTGCTGGATAGAAAGGTGTTGCTAAAGGGGAGACGGCAGATGCCATCGATCCTGAGTTGCTGATGCTAAATGCCAGATAAATGCTCTGTTTCCTCTGCGCTTTCTCCAGAGGGTCTAGAAGAGGATCACTATCAATTGCTATCATTTGCTTCTTTATTAAATTCTGGAATAGGAAATTGTGACCACGAAAATCAGAGACGTTCAAATATGTGGTTACGTTCTATGATTAATAGACTTTGACACTTTTTTCAGACATCAAAAGGGACTCCTTCCTTCACTGGAACCTTCTAAGCCCCTCTCATCAGCAATATCAACACGGTAGCCTTCATGAAATCTTGCGAGATAAATGAGACCCACTCAAAGTCCTAAATGAATTGTACATCTTTGTCTTACCCGCTGCCCCACGTGAGCGATTAAATGCGAGCGGTGTGAGTTGCGCGGGTGAATCGGAAATATCAAACTGGCCGTTTGTGTGGCGCTAGTCCGAGATCAAGCTAAGCGGTCAGGAGAGGGAAGCGGCCAAAGTCCGAGATCAAATATTTTGATATTTTCGCGCGAGTCGCTGCGCTGGCCAGTAAGGCGCATGCGCAAGAAAGCTCTGACCGCGCACGGAAGGTGCATACGCAGGAAGGCCGTGTGCTTCTATTGCGGTCTCTCACGTAGGACACAACAGGCAATTCCCTCGCTTCATATGACACCTCACGCTGCTTATGCAGCTCGCAAAGCTCGCTTGTTATCGCTCACGTAGGACATGGCAAAGGGAAAGACTGCACGTACTATAAAAACTAGAGAACAGGGGTGCCAACCGTGAGCCAACTAAATACCCTCGTATCCTATCGCTGTTCACGACTACGTCTACATGGCGCCAATTTACTTACAGCTTGCATGACTTCCGACTGATTACTGCTGCTATTTGCGAAGAGCATGTGACTGCTGCTGCCACCTGCACCTTTATTATGAATTAACTGTGAACCTGGAGCTTTACTGTGTGAGCTACTGGAACCAAGACTGCTAGTAGATGCTGATTCTGACACCTCCCCACTTCCATTCTGTAACACACATCAACGTACTACAGCAACGCTAATAAAAACACATTAAATTTAAGGCAATATATCAGGGCTCAAGGCAGAAATAAGGTAATACAGCCCAAGTTTGATCCTCAATAAAGTTAAAAGAACAGGTTCGGAGTGTCATCTTATATTCTTGTACAATTATTTTATTTATAAACAAGTGTTTATTTTACAAAATGTATTACACATTGTAACTTCTTTTTATGCTTTGTTTCGACAAGTTCTCAAAGTATGAAGTTTTATGTAACAGCCATCACTCGAGCAAAAGTTTGTTAATTCGATATCAGATAATTCAAAGCGACTGTAATCTCATGTCAGAGACTACGTGATTTTTAATATAGATAATTCAACATATGTTTAATTTGAAGTTTGAAATTTGAAATCCTGTGATAAATTCCCAGCAAACAACTTTGTCTTTTACACTTAAAATTATTCACTATCTGGACTTTTTCCATCGTCCTTGTTTGAAAGAGGGAACCGCGACGTTCCAGAAAATGAATAATTTTAAGTGTAATCCACCATCGTCAGAACCCTCTAGAATTTAACTTTGTCTTTTCCTTAGAATGCTTGTGCACGTACACAACAACTTCAAATGAAAGAAAATTATCAGTTACATTCCTTACATTAAAATACCAGTACAACTGAGACATATTTCTGTGTAAACTGAACATAAAACTAATCAAAACGTCAAATAAAGTTTCACTGCATGTATGTAGCATGATCATCATCAGCGTACTTACTGATGAATCGCTACTCTTCTCCTCCCTTTTGGAAGTTTCCTGACCCATTGCAGAGTCTCGTTTGTCTGGCGGGAGAGCGCTTGATAATATATCTGCTAAATTAGTACCAGAGTCCACCCGAGCGGCCAGATCTCGAGCGAGTGTCATTTCTTCTGTGAAGCAAAGAGCATTTTATTTCAGTAAACCACTTCCCATGTCTTACTTCATACACATTTAGGAATTATTGAAGGTAAAGTGAAAGATATATACGTATTTTTACCAAACAGAAATGATTATAACAACGATATATGAGAATTCAATGTCACTGAACCTGACACACCTGGGAAGTCTGCGGAACGACCAACTGCCGACAGACATTCTATGACTAACGTTCAGAGCGAAATGCGCAACTGGAAGGCTACCCGATTATGACCGAAGTAAGACGTAGTAATTAAACTGTATAATTATGAATGGATTTTATATGTATAACCGTTATTGATATGTTCATTTTGTCTATTTTCTTCAAAATAAGTTACAAAAGTCTATTTAAAAAAGTTCAAGCTGCTAACAAATGATTAAGTGCGACTTCCTACCTTCGAAAGTTCCTCCTTAATTCTACTACCGAGCTTACGAACTGGTATTTCATATAGATTCTGACCATTCACGTGATCCACAGACAAGAGATTCCAATATTTAATCGTTCCAACTACAATCTTATCCCTGCTATTACAGGTGATCTTTACAAGAACTGCTAGCGAATGGATTAACGCTTTAAAGCCAAAGGTCATCTAAATATTATTTAAAAGTTCATTCGGTAACAAAAAGAAAACGTGTCTCGATTATAAATATCAACTGATTGACGCTGTTTAAGGAAATAACTGCTGTTTATTCCGTCGTCACAAACTTTTACATACAATTTGAACAAAATTCAGAGTTGTTGGTTGTTAAAGGAGTTAAACTACATTTCAAAGGGTCATATAAATACCCGTAGAAATGCGTCAACTTACGTTCGACGTGGGCAAAAGCACAGAACACTCCTCTTGGACAATAGCCTGCAGTCTGAACATCATTGCACTTGGTTGATTTATATATTTCAGGATGAAACTGCTGTTCAGTTCTAGTGTGGCAGTAAGGGCAATTGTCACCACTTTCACAATTCCCTGGCTCACCCCACTCATCCCCGTGTTTCACGTTTGGGCATGGCGTAGATCTGAACAGAAAAATAGAATCTCGATTATATAAATTCAACATAACGAGAGGTCTATTAATTTTTCAAATGGAACCAATTAATACAATCAGAAGGACAGCTGTAAATGCTAGCAATGCCAAGTACATAATTTTTCCTAGATAAATTCCTACTCCACAATCACCGATATTCCTCGAACGAACCAGAATTACACAGAGTCTAGTGTTCATAACGAACAGATGAAACTAACCTATCGGAGCATGAATATCCCTTACAGCTTACAGCTATAATTGATGTATTTTCTATCCTTCGTGCGACAATTTAAACATTGTAGGATTTGAGGTTTTCACAGTGGCGAGTCTGAAGATTGCTGTCTTCGTCGCCCTGATGACGGAGGCAGTATGACCTCAGAAACGTTGGTTAACATCGACCAGACTACACGGCGCAACAACCCAGAAGACAGCAATCTTCAATTTAAACATTTTATTATATTATTTATTAGTATATCAAGGTAAACTGTCGCAAAGGAGTCCCATCTCCGAAACGTCGTTCAATTTTATTAGACGATGGATAACAACCCAAAAACCTTTTATTTAAATAACTCACCATCGTCACAAACTTTTAAATTTGAGATTATCTTCTATGTTCTGTATTAGACATTCAAGATACCTACACTGTTCTTCAGAATCAGAATTAAAAACCAGTTCTCCATTTAATTTGTAGACATCACAAGAAAAATTTGGTAATGACCAACTACTGGCTGCTGTATACAGAGTATACACAAAAGAATGGTGCAACTGTGACTGGCGACTCATTTTTGGACATGTCGGAAAGCTGGTTGTTACCCCAACTGAATACCAATTATGACGATTACATTCTACAACTGGACGGAGCACCCCCCCCCCCCCTTTTAAACTTGGAGAGTTGCCGCCGCTGACGGTGTATGTTGCGCCCGTGTAAGGCGAGAAATAAATTTTTTATTAACTTTTAAAACCACACCATTCTTTTGTGTACACCCTGTATGTGTGTATATATATATATATAACCGAAGGTCAGTTTTACCTTAGGAGGTCTCAGCTGTAAACCTGTCAAGTAATACAGCATCCAGTCTGTATGCACCAAAATCACGAACTTTACTAATAACACGCAAACAGAAAATTACCCGCTTGTGCATGTTAACTAAAATTCTTAGTGGATGAACGTTTATCTTCTCACCCTAATTAAAAGTTCTAATCTTACCTGCCTGGAGCCCTTACGTTACACATTTTTATATTTTCTTTCGTATTAATCTCCCGAAACCCCCCTACAAACTGCAAGTGTGCGCCGGCACGCGCACAAGTCGTGACTATGAAACTGAAGAGATAGCGAGTAACTTTTAAACAGATGAACAAAATGTACAATGCACACGATAATTACAAACGACACTTGGAGCACCTGCAAAGTGCGTAGCAGTCAGCAATCTTGTACACAGTATACGAGTGTTACGGCAAACCATTAACAAATAACGTGACACCGAAGCCTACTTACATACTTCTACCCGCTACTTTGTTAATTTATTACTTACCTGCTGTTTCTCTCACATTTTTCACGCACAAACGATTTAATTTACTCAAGACACTAAATACTGGCAAATCAACATTAAATCTTACCTGTATTTGTATTTTCTCGGACTTCTCCTTTTATCCCTACTGTTATGATACTGTGGACAAGCATAGCCCTGACGACACAAGCGAGGAGGTCTCTTGCACGGCTCAGTCTTGTAACTTGCTAAAACGTAACTTGTATCTGCAAATAATTACAGAACTATAAACACACGTTACTCTAAGACACTTGACACACACTGAATCAACATTCATATTTTCTTACCTTGCCATTTTGGATCTTCATTCATTAAATTTCTCTCTTTATCTAAAACATTTGGACCATTCACTGCATTTGCTTCTGCATCTGGATTCTCCAAAGCCTACAGCAACAAGAAAAACATTTCCTTGGTAAAATTATACTTCGGCTGAAACTATCTGTAATTCAGCGTATGTACACATCAACAGAAACCAATCACATTCTCGATCACATCAATTCAACAGTTAATATCCACAACTTAAAATTTGAAGTGTACATCTACACAGAATTGTTGAAAATACTGCTTCACTATACATTCACACTTATATAGAACCAAAACTTCAATATACAAAGAAACTTTTTAACGGCACATACATTATTCTAAATAACATCAAAATTATTGCAGTTCAGGGCCTGGTAGTGGCCGAGTTATGCAGGATAGATACAAAATGTGCAGTACATGCTGTGGGATGTATGTGATGGACAACTATGAGTCATAACTGAAGTGGGGTTGAGAATCGTTAGTTAAAGAATTCCCAATATTTTACAATTTACTTAAACTTTTAACCATGATAAATTACCTGATAAACTAATCCTATCAAATTTTTCCTTTATTTATAAATTACACCATTTCTAACAATTCTAGCATGTTTAGAAATGCTAGTGCTGTTCAAAAGTAGTAGGATTGGGGGAGGGGCAGTTAACCATTTAAAAAAGCAGTGTAAAAGAGTTCCCATTTGATATAACATTACTACCAATTAATGGCATGGCAAGGTCTACTCTGTGACAGATAAGCTGTAAACCTGTCAAGTAATACAGCATCCAGTCTGTATGCACCAAAATCACGAACTTTACTAATAACACGCAAACAGAAAATTACCCGCTTGTGCATGTTAACTAAAATTCTTAGTGGATGAACGTTTATCTTCTCACCCTAATTAAAAGTTCTAATCTTACCTGCCTGGAGCCCTTACGTTACACATTTTTATATTTTCTTTCGTATTAATCTCCCGAAACCCCCCTACAAACTGCAAGTGTGCGCCGGCACGCGCACAAGTCGTGACTATGAAACTGAAGAGATAGCGAGTAACTTTTAAACAGATGAACAAAATGTACAATGCACACGATAATTACAAACGACACTTGGAGCACCTGCAAAGTGCGTAGCAGTCAGCAATCTTGTACACAGTATACGAGTGTTACGGCAAACCATTAACAAATAACGTGACACCGAAGCCTACTTACATACTTCTACCCGCTACTTTGTTAATTTATTACTTACCTGCTGTTTCTCTCACATTTTTCACGCACAAACGATTTAATTTACTCAAGACACTAAATACTGGCAAATCAACATTAAATCTTACCTGTATTTGTATTTTCTCGGACTTCTCCTTTTATCCCTACTGTTATGATACTGTGGACAAGCATAGCCCTGACGACACAAGCGAGGAGGTCTCTTGCACGGCTCAGTCTTGTAACTTGCTAAAACGTAACTTGTATCTGCAAATAATTACAGAACTATAAACACACGTTACTCTAAGACACTTGACACACACTGAATCAACATTCATATTTTCTTACCTTGCCATTTTGGATCTTCATTCATTAAATTTCTCTCTTTATCTAAAACATTTGGACCATTCACTGCATTTGCTTCTGCATCTGGATTCTCCAAAGCCTACAGCAACAAGAAAAACATTTCCTTGGTAAAATTATACTTCGGCTGAAACTATCTGTAATTCAGCGTATGTACACATCAACAGAAACCAATCACATTCTCGATCACATCAATTCAACAGTTAATATCCACAACTTAAAATTTGAAGTGTACATCTACACAGAATTGTTGAAAATACTGCTTCACTATACATTCACACTTATATAGAACCAAAACTTCAATATACAAAGAAACTTTTTAACGGCACATACATTATTCTAAATAACATCAAAATTATTGCAGTTCAGGGCCTGGTAGTGGCCGAGTTATGCAGGATAGATACAAAATGTGCAGTACATGCTGTGGGATGTATGTGATGGACAACTATGAGTCATAACTGAAGTGGGGTTGAGAATCGTTAGTTAAAGAATTCCCAATATTTTACAATTTACTTAAACTTTTAACCATGATAAATTACCTGATAAACTAATCCTATCAAATTTTTCCTTTATTTATAAATTACACCATTTCTAACAATTCTAGCATGTTTAGAAATGCTAGTGCTGTTCAAAAGTAGTAGGATTGGGGGAGGGGCAGTTAACCATTTAAAAAAGCAGTGTAAAAGAGTTCCCATTTGATATAACATTACTACCAATTAATGGCATGGCAAGGTCTACTCTGTGACAGATAAATGTGACTATGCTCATACCTGAATTTCCTTAATATCATATACTGGAGGTCTAAGATCATGATTCCCATGTGCAAATGCACAATGGGGGCCATTCTTTACACAAAATCCTCTTGCATCAGTGTCATGAACACACATACACGTCTTATAGTATCTTAAATGATAACGGCGTTCTGTATCTCCAGCCGTTCGATGTAGGTACGGACACCTAAAAAAGATAAATATTTTTCAAGTGAATTAATGTTAACAAATATATATAAACTGAACATCAACCAATCACCACTTCACTTGAAGGTTATGGGAATGCTGTAAAGATGTGTTTGATGTTCCAAACATTGCGTGTTATGACAGTTCAGGCCATGTTATTTACACCATATGACACACGAATTTCCTTACATAATTTTGACACGCCCACAGCAAAGATCAATACACAAGTACACAACACATGTAGCCTTTTTGTTTCATACACAAACGAATGTGTCAATTAATAAAAGTATATGAAAAACTGTGTACTAAATATACGACGCAATTGAGGGAAATTCAAAACTCTTAACGCAAGTAGCGACATCCTTATGGGAAACAAAACGTTCATCTACTTACTCATCTCCTTCCGGACATAATCCTGTAGTTTCATCAAATTTTGTACAGTAATGATCAGCACTATAATTAAACGATCCATCTCTTTTCCTTACTGGTCTTCTGCGACGTTGGTTCATAAAATGCCAGTGGAAACAAGTAAAAGGTCTATGCTGAGTGCATTTGTGTTGTAGAAACAATGGACACTGCTCAACACGAAATTCCTTCAAATACCTAGAATGTAACACAGGATATTCATTCCAATATTGGCTTCCCATCTCATGGTACTATTGTTTACGCTTTATGTAAAGTAATGATCAGTAATGTAACTTACGTATAATGATTTGGCTTTTCTGTTTGAGCTGTCAACAAACTTTTCGATTCCGACGGCATTTTGTGAACTAACAGCAATAAACTGACCTACTGCGCATTCCTTCTGCGCAGGGTACGCTCTGGTAGAGGATTACTACTATTGGTCAATTTTATCACGTGGGTTAAATTGACAACGTCAAGGTCATTTATGTTTTGAATGAATATGCAAATAAAAAATTGATTAATAAAATAATTACGACAGCTGTCGCGTTTGAATCCTAAATAGTATCCGATGTACTGGGAAGGGGTTACGATCAATGTCAAAGTATTGCATATAGTTACAAACTTTCAATGAGCTAAGGAATTTAAACAGCAAACCTTTCAATAACATTAACAATCCATATCATGAAGGCAATGTCACACGATATGCATGTGGTTCGTACACTGAATTACAAGACCAGTAGTATTTTCTGTCTCTTTTATTTTAATTTAAGCCCCAAAAAACTCCACAATAAAAATTTACAAAAACAAAAATTAAAAATATGATTATAAAACACTTCGATATACATCTACATAAAGCATTTAAAATATTCTTATAAATACAGGTATCTCAATATAAATTCACATACAGAATCTAGATGTAGTCAATATGGAACACTTACATAAAGAAATAATACAGATATTGCCAGAACAAGACACATTTAAAGTTAAAAATTCTTATTAGGTTTTTCACACACAAGTACAAGCACTGCTGTCAGCAACACATTTGTTTTCTAAGACTCAGTAATACAGTGGTGTTCTACGACATTAAACCTTAGCCTGACAGACTTTGAAATGAAATTCCTTGATCAGCATAGAAATTGTAAACCATGACCTAACAGAAACTGCTACTTTTCTTTGAAGCATTTTTCCATGCTTTGCCCATATGTTGGTAATGAAAATTGTCTGGTATGTTCTGAGTAGTCTTATGGTAAAATATGTAAGTGATCTTAAAACATTGGATAGAACATAAATTACAGAATGAGGACTCATACATTCAATTGATCTGCACTTTCACCATATTAAAAAAGATTCCATTATAAAACATTGGTTGTTGACTGACAGCAGTTCAATTCCCATAAAAAGTATAAGAAAAAACAGTAGTGCTTAGCCAGATTGTCATGACACTGAAGCTACTGCAAAAGCTACAAAAGCATAATGTATTCAGGATTATCACAGAAACTGAAAACAACCACGAAATCGAAACACACGTATGTGACTATAAAATCCCTCACTAAATGTCTTGATTTTCTGGGTTTGCAAACTGCAACCAAACATATGAACATGGAAAGTAAGCACTAAATCACAAACAATTAATAAACAAGAGGCATAACAGTTTTAATTATGAAATTAAATTCAACATCTTTATGCCACCCATTAAATTTAAATTCTAATGTATATAAAGCACTGAAATTTCATGAATAAATATGACGTTACCATTATAAATTTTATATCAGTTTCGAGCGGCAAAACACATTTGACAGTTGTGACTGAGGAGATCTGTAAGTGACTTTGAGAGGAGTATGTGACGGCATATATTCTGAGCCAACCGTAACGGTATACAGAGTAAGGTAGTAGCAAAGTTCTGACTTGTCACAAGGCTGTGGCCACTGCTGCAGACACAAATACATGCTATAATTGTGTCTTCTTGGCTGTTTCGCCGAGGAGACAACAATCCAAACTCACAACACCATAACCTAAATTCCCCTATCATGATTTTACAACCAACAATTTATATGAGCCCTTACTGATAACTTAAGCTATGAGAAAAAATTAATCATAAGATACAGCAGTATAAGAAGTTGGAAGGACTGTCACAAGAGATCAGTTTCATATGATAATCCTAGAAGGCAACTTAGTAAAATTTGTCAGATCAAAACAACTTACTATTAAGAGAAATGCAACCGTCTCCTTGTGATATGATTCTCGCAAGCTGAAATTCAATCAGGTTAATTATATTTAAATAATTTATAAATACAATCACTTAAAATTATTGTCCAATCTTATGCAAAGACCAATATTTGAATTTGTATTGTAGCATCTCAGCGTGTTACGTTGCTTCTTGTCAGTCACTTTTACACAATCACAGTTCACTGTTTTTTATTATTTCTGAACTATATGTTTCAAAGCGTATACTCAGACCTGATGATGGCCACATCAGGCTGAAACATGTAGGGGGGAAAAAAAAAACTGTGAACTGCAAATGTGCAGGTGACAGATAAGAATACTGATATTCTTTATTATTTAGTTATAGTTGAATATATTTCAGTGATAAAATAGATGAAGCTAGAGGCTAAATGAGGAAGCAGTCAAATAAAATTAATGAGTAAACATGAGTAGTTGGTACGCCACTTTGAAAAATTTGGATAGAAATTTAAGAAATTAATTAAAATTAATAAGTCCGGAATTAATAACAATAAAGTTAAAATTTATATTAACAAATTTACAAAGTACAAAAATCTCCAAAATGCTCAAAATAAGCAAAAGAGTGAAAAGTAACAGCAGATTAAGATTTTGAAATGTTTAAAAGTCGGAATTCTGAACCTGAAGCAAATAATTCAAGAGAAAATATTTTACATATTCATGTATGAGATGGAAGTATTATGAAACTTTTTTTTAGGTTCATAAACTGAGACAAACTGAAACAACCATCTACCAAGCCTCTACTTACAGAATCTGGTTTTGAATTAAATTCACTTAATTAATAACTTGAAAGTTAGTCTGTGTGCCTAATTCCACTCCTGCCAATAGGATGATATAAATAGTGTTTAAGAATGTCTGACTTTCTAAATCAGCTATTTAATAGCACTCAGTTTTGAAGTTTTGCTTCCCTCTGTAATGGACCATACATACACATTGTCTCCCAGTTTAAAGCTGGAATAGTGAAGAGCAGCTGTTTGGTTGAACCATCAAATAGTAGTCTGATCAACTAGCAACTTCTTGAATGCTGATATCTACCTGAAAGCCATGAAGAGGACTGCTCTAGTACAGGAGTCCTATGTAAATTCAGTAACATTCTAGTATATTCTGTATAACATAGACTTTTTTTATATTATGGGACAGAATGTTATCAGTTTTGTTTGGTTAAGTCACATCTGTTGAGTGATCCAATTCAATTTATGACCACTGAAAGTAAATTGGAATCTAATTTAGAATTTTTGAAAATAAGAATCAAATGAAATATGGGTTTACTTGAGATTATCTAAGTGTAAGATATTGGCATGTTAATGGAAACTTCTAGAAAGCTCTAAGATAACTTTAAAATATTGACATTTTAATGTGTTCCCCTATTTGAATCACAATATGGAGGTTATGTACAACTAAGACTTTCCTCTGCAGTTGAACTTCAGACCCTTTATAATCAAAACTACCACAAAATGCCCCAAAAATCCTGGAGCATATTTGGATTCAAGTTTCAGACCAATGAAGATAGAGCAGAATACAGTTCCTTTGAAGAAAACTAAAATATAACAGTGAGACTAATATGTGGTGTATAACATCTCACAGAACACCTCAGCTCCCGATGCGAATCATCCACTTAGATAGGCAGCAATGAAATTGACAAATCTAGTGTTATAACAATGGAAGTTTTGAACTCAAAAATATTGTGCCTAATAAAGAAATTATACTTGCAAAACGTGATATCACATCCAGTTAAAGACAACTATCATAACACGATTCCAACTTCAAACTTTCTTTCAACAAATAGTAAATGTAAGGCAAACAAATATTTTGTTACTTTTTAGTATGAAATTAAAAGGTAACACATTAAAAAAGAAATTATGCATGTTGGGTGGACTGCCACCCCTGATTGTGGTTCATCTGTGATGTCCTACTGTTGTTTTTTAAATACCCTCACTCTACGCTAGCCTAGGACAAGTATGTGAGTGTATACGTCGATCACCTCTGCTACTTTCTGACTAATGGGGCTTTGAAAATGCATGTCTATCATCCAACTGTAAAGCATTTCTCACTTCTGTTTAGAGGATCTTCTCAGTTGATTTGGTTCCTCACCCCCACAAAGAAGAAATATGCATAAAGCAGGTTGGTACAGTAACCTAATAAAATAGTACTCGTCTTTAAAGGGCACAGGCATGGGTAACCTGTGGCCCAAAATTTGGATCTAATCCATCATGTTTATTTACGTAAACCAAACATACATGTACAAGAATTTCAACAGAACATATCATATGCCACATTGCTATTTAAAGTTTATAAATAAAACTTACACTGCCAACTGCATATTTTTTTTAAGAAAATCTGATTTTATAATTCAGCAATTTAACATCACATCCTTTGCAACCAAGTCAGTTAAAATAAAATTTTTAATTCCATTGCAATATGGGCCAATAATTGTAATATTATAGCAGGCCCACTGCATTCACTGACAGTGAACAACCACAAAACCCAGTTCTACAAATGTCAATCGATGTTATTAACATGAGAGATGTGTGTGTGTTTGCATGCATGTATGAATGCGTACACACAAAATTTACAAATTTCTTTAAATGAAAGAAACTGCTAAAATAAATATAAGGAACTAACCAAGTGAAAGATAATGAAGACAAATAAATGAATAATTCCTGTTAGTTAATTAGACTTCAAAGTAACAATCTTTTGAAATGGCTTAGTGAGCATATATCAGAAATACCTAGAAAATTATATTCTTTGCTACACTCTGATACAATGTTTAATATTTAGTCGTATCAGAAAAACCTAGAAAATTATATTCTTTGCTAAACTCTGATACAATGTTTAATATTTAGTCCTTTGAGACCTCTTGCAGCAAAATAAAATGTATTTACAACCTGTTCATGATGCAATACGGAACAGTAAAAGATTTTCATTTGAAATTCTGTATCTTTTAAACACAAAATAATTTGGTCCTGAGAGTATTCCACCTCTAAAAGTTAAACCACACACAACACACAGATATTCAGAGCACTTTGTGATTGTTCTTTCATTTCTTTAACTTTGCAACTATCGTAAATTTGTTTGAAAATTTGCTTATTACCACGCTTAAAGATAAAACCTGACGAGTATCATTCATAACAAAATAAAAGACGAGACAGAATACTCCGATCCACTAATGATGATATGTACAGCTGAATTCTAGCTAGGGTCTGGTGCTCACTAAACCAGGATATTGTTCTCAACATAGCAAAATCCCAAAAAGGTATGGTGATCACTCATATGTGATTTGCTATCCTTAACGTTCAATTATATTATGAGTGCACATTTCTCTGTTAATTTGTAAATCCATCTAGTCGGTCTTCACCTGTCCTCTATAACAAAATAATTTTGATTTATCATAAATAACAGAAGAGTACATTTTTCTTCCTTTTTTCAGAAAGCTACTCTTTCCAAAAGTCAATAAACTATGCACAAGAATATAAATCATACAAAGAACTCCTATTCTAATGAGATTACATCCCTTTAATAAAATACAAGCTATATTAACAGTTTTTCCTATTATTTGCATTCACCCCCCTTTCAATTTCACACTGAAGCTATAACATGTTTCTCACTCTTAATTTATATTTTAAAATATGAAATAATATTACACCTAGAATATAAATAATATATTACTCTCCTTATTTGTATCAATAAAAAAATGTTGTGACCAGCAGAAATTTTGTATTTTCTACCTTGCATTCCTGTTCAATACATTTCACTCCTCTGAGTATGACAAAGGAGAACGGATGTACCATGTTGGACTGGACTCACAAAATCTCAGTAACGAGAGAGAAAGTTTCAACGCACAGCTAATATTACTCTTGGAACATATCGGTGTTACTCATAAATACTAAATGTACACAAACTCATATTCTCAAGAATAGTGCATCTTTCCTAGAAAACCAATGAAGAAAAATGTAATTCAACCCCCCCCCCCCAATTCTTTGAAAAATAAATTGTCAGTTTCTTGCTATATCAGGCAGGGCTCCTGGCTTAAAAAAATGTTACACATTTTGCAGGTATTCAGGAGTACTAAGAATTTCAAGACTTCTTTTAAAGATATATGAAATGATGGGACACATTCAATTTTTGTTTTCATCTGCACTGGCCCTTGCTGTATTAGGTGTTGTTTCCTAAATATCTTCATAACTACAGTTTCATCCAAACTATTTAATATATGTTCTGATTACACAATTCATCTTTAAATACAGCTTCATACCAAATGTCTTCAGGTGTAGCGAAGGGAGCACCTACTCTGTGGGGTCCATCCGAACCACTGGTCCAGTGAACATGTGTAATTTTGAAGATGGCTGTCTTCAGGA